TAGACACCTTCCGGCACCTTGGACTTTTTTCGGTGCTGGTTTGAGTAGACTCGGCCGGGCCGATTTCATTGACCTACCGAGATGGACGGACAGTCGGAAGGTAGACACGTGTTTGAATAGAGCACGGGGAGTAAACCAGTAAACACCGCGGCAAGCACACACAACCTCCCTCCCCGAGAGATTCCTTGCCACCGTCTAAAAAAAGGCCAACACATAAAAGTTTAAGATTGCGTGAGCTCGACCCAAAGAGGTTTTTACTGGATGGGGTGGAAAATTATAGCGTGCAGGACGCTACAAGTTATAGCAGGTGCTGTGCTATATAAGTACGTCGGGATTACCGTTATAAAAGAGGGAGGTTACTCATCCACATCGAAGAAAGACACGTCACTTATGCCAACCACCTACAAAATATCTCTTTTATTGTTTTATGTCATTTTGATACCAGGAGGTCGGGGTTCAAATTGAGACTCCATCTTAAATATTATAATATAGAGATAGAGTGAGGATTGTGTAGATTTAGATGAAGGTCGTACCTATCTACAAGTATTTTCTGTAGGTAACAAACAAAATATTGCGAAGAACTTTAATGTTATCTTTGTGTAGCAAAAAGATCTTGTCTAATGCTTAGCGAACTTTTACCAGTGTTTGTGCACCGTTGTACAACACTGGTTCACAACGCGACCCGATATAGTAGCGTTAAGCTTTCACCTCAATTCGAGCAAGGTAACGCCTCTATTAAGGGCGCTCTCACGCCTTTTGAATTTATTTATTATCATAAAGTTTGCACTTTACAATGTTATATTGAGTGCCTGGTGATCCCCCGCGAAACTCTTGTTGTACGAGATGGCCATGACTGGTAGGAGATGTTACTTGACACACATAGAAAAGAGTACCCCAAGTCCAATGACATGGACGACGTCGTCGTCGTTCGAGGGGAGGAGAGAGACCCTCGACTCCTGGTCTCACACGGCACCACGACCCGTCGGACCGGTACCCGTGGGCTGCTCTTGTTGTATTTTCAGGGAACACCTGACAAGTGTGTAGTAGGGGCCGGACGAAGTTCCACTCTCTCTTGTTAGTTTTAGTATTTCATATGTTTGTGAGCGACCGTCTCTCCTGTATAAAATAAATAAAAAAAGTGGTTGGAAGTTTTTTGAGTGTTTTTGAGTGGAGAAGTTAGACCGAAAAAGTACCAACTAACTAAAAACATTAAGTAAACTGAAATTGAAATTGATATATAAAATAAACAACAAGGGAAAGAAGAGAGAAAAGAGAAAAGAGAAAGTGATAATTGGCACGATTTTTCCGCGAAACCTCGTGGACGCATTTTCTTCGCGATTTGTTAAATTTTAGATAATACATAATAATGAGATAATAATTAAAACTCTGCGATTGGACACAAAACAAAGGCGGGCGTCCAGAGAACACAGGTCTGCTCGGACTAGAAAACATAACTTCGAAGACAGGAAGCTACAGAGTCTTGCCAAAAAGTAGTCAGGTCAGTCGGAGGCACGTTCTGACGAGATATGACAATTCACCTGGAAGATGTACAAGTAACAGACGAAAAATTGTCATGTACGTGGGTGAGTATCATATATGTATATGTTGTTCAGGGACCGTGGTGTCTCTGATAGTTTACAAGGAGATATAAATAATACCATAGTCTTTTTTCCAAATAATTGGTCCCATCCCAACTGTGCATGCTCCTTAAACTAGACCCTCAACACCACGTATGTAATCTTCACTTTCGTTCTTAATTTTTGTGTCCATCTTTTTACAAAATTACTTCTTTTGATAATGTCTTTTGTATTTGTTTATACACATGGGGCCACGACAGTCTTTGTTTTGGGAGAAAGAAAAGGAGGATCCGGACGTGTAGAGTTTCTTCCTTCACCCCCACCGCGATTGTCCTTCGTCTAGGTCTTAAAAAGAGCCCGAGCGATAATGAAGTAACCACTCTAGGGCCGGCTGCACTGTGCAGGGGAGGGAGTTAGCAGAGGCCCGGCTGGCACTGTGCAGGGTGGATGAGCAGAGGCGTCGTGCACCTGTGCACGGGGTGGATAGCGAGAGGCCGTGTGCACTTGTGCAGGCGGTTGGATAGCAAGAGGCGTGTGCACTGTCGCAGGGTTGGATAGCAGAGGCAATAGTGCAACGTCAACCGACCTCCCCGAATTCTCATTCATTTCAACACGAACTATATCAGCTTGAATGTATGTTACCCGTGAGCAGGAATCGCCATTTTGTGAATTCTTCTCGTACTGGTACCCGCGCCCGCACAAAATCCTCATTATACGACACACAACAGTAAATTGGTAATTTACGTTTCAGTACGGATTTGTCTGAGTCTCCCGTTCTGGTATACCTCGATTTAGCGACGACATCCGATATCGCACCTCTCTCTTAGTACAAATTGGCATTTACAGGAAGCACATTATTACCATCCCGCAACGCTCTCTCTTTCTCCAAACTCGAAGGGTATATGACAAAAGGTCTTTATTCCGCGAACTTCACCAATTCCTCCGTATTGTACCGTAAATTCGTGCGTCGCAATCGACTCTAAGGAGCGGGGTATCCGTCCCTCTTTTGACCGCACAACGCGGATGTTTCCCGCCACCGATTTCGTCTTACGTCGGCAAACGTTGCACTCCCGCCGTATTCTCCCCATACTCGTCATACTACCGATACTATAGTAAATACCCCTAGACAAACCAAACATAAACTATCCGTTGGTCTGAACGTGCTCTGCAAACACACCACAAAACATATCATACCGGGCATGTCTATATACAAGCTTACTATCGTACTATACCCGGTGCCCGTTCAATCGAGTCCGTCCTCGTACATGCTTATACTTAATTATGATCAAGATTGGCGTATCTCTCTTGCAGTAGATCCGCTCTCCTTCTTCTTTCTGTGGTCTCTTCACTTGTTTGACCAGAATACACGAAAAAGGTACACATACTTACAGCGATGGACCGTTCGTACGCCGTCACCACAAACCCACAGCTCATCAGAGAGAAGGCCATAGGTAATTCAATATGAATAACAGTAACAATACATATAATATAAAACACTGCAAAACACAAAAAACAAATCCTGGGAGATGAACACCTAAGCGGGCGTCAGATACTACAAGAGAGGACTAGGACGAGAGAGGCACTGGTCTCATTGCGCCTCCATATGTATTTACTGTCAAAGCATTTAATATATTCATTGCCATCGGGATGTTAAGAGCATTCCATGGAATATAACAAGTATTTCTGAAATAAATTACATACCCCACCTTTAAGTAGGCAAATTAACTCAAACACGTCATGTTACAATTATTTTTGCTGCTTGCTACAAAAGGAAAACTCGCGTGGCTCTCATGTCAGGGGCATTTGAGTGAGTGACATGCAGGCTCTGCATGCACAGCAAACCACCAATGACAACCATTCTTGATCAGATCACAGCAGGATAACCGAGCTAGCTCAGTTTGTTGCTCTGATAACTTAGGATCCAGAAGACGGTGACTAAAATCCTTCATCCGGTTAAATATTGTTAAAAAAATACCAATTGTTTAGCATTAAAGTTCAAGAAGGATGGTTTGCGGACAAAAAAAAACTGTCTTTTCTTCAATTCCTGTATTTTTTCGTATCGCAATATATATCGCAGGGGAAGGAAATATTGCAATGTCAGTTTTTTTCCAATATCGTGCAGCCCTACTTGCTATCATGAAACACTAAAACAATCCAGACTGATAAATAGCACTACAGTTAAGAGAACATGAGTTATATGTTTGAGGTGAACTGCCCTTTAAGCTACAACAGTTCTACTGTTTTTCTAGTCTAGCTCGTACTTTGTGACAGTACATTTTACACAAGTCTACTTGTAAAAGGCAAGTACAACCAAAGTCATACATGTATTTTAAGTGTGCTTGAACAAAAATCAAAATGGTCAAGACATTGGATTTAGGAAGAAAGATTTGGGAAGGTGTGCAGAGACGTACCTCGGCACCGCTCCGAGGACGATCAGATTGGCCTTCTGCTTGTTGTTTCCTATGACTGCATTCTTCATGTCGCTGTGAAGTCAGACAAACACACAGATAAGAACCATTTTAGAATCTGTTTTGGGACAAACGAGACACATTTGCTCTGAATAACACTTCATAACTCTTCTCGGTTGTTGTTTTTTATTGCAGCTGCAACAGAACCAATTGCCCCTTGGAGACAAATTAAGAATTTGAACTTGAATTTAAGATTACAAAAATAGAAACGGCATACTTCTGGCCCATTTTGCAGTAATGGTGTACCAGTAAAGTAAATATAGTGACCGATACAATCATGTAGGAACAACATGTGTAGTTGAAGAAGAAGACTAGCAATCTGGGAACCTAAAATTATATTTTAAAATGTGTTTTTAAAACTAAAGGCTTTTCTAATATGACCGTGTACAGTTTGACCTACTAAGCAATACTCTAATGTGTGTTCTCGTTGAGTAATGTACTGTTCCATCATACAAGAATATAAAAAACTACACTGCAACTTGGGGATAATGACCCTTTGGGATATAATCTAAAGCTTTATTATTGATCTGATTCTGCAACCGGTCCGAAAAGTGATTCACATGTATTCTTAAATCAACAAACGTGCTCTAAGTACAGCACATTAAGATGCTTTTTGCACGATGTTGTTCTTTGACGATGAAAAGGACCATGAGCTGGTAGTCAGAGAAGTTATAAAGACAGACAAAGGTCAAGCAGACTAATATTTCCACATCAGATCAGAGAAGGTAAACATAAAGCGGATGCATCACACACGTTTAGGACACAGAATGAGTCAGCTAATTTGCATGCACTGCATTTAGTTTTCCATGCAGCTTTTCCTCTGCCCTGCGAGTGCCCCAGATGATATCATATAGCAGGTAAGTGAGGCTAACGGAAAAACACAGCTGTAGCAGGCATTCAAGTCAGTCAGGTGCTCGGCTAGCGGAGCGCTGCACGCCGTAACCAGAGCTAGTCCTTTCAGAAGTTAAAAATAACAGGGAAATTGTCAGGTCACCAAAGCGAGAGAGAGTGAGAGTGAGATATGAAGTCACACTGACGACTGAAACGCATTTTGAAATAGAGCGTCACATGAAAGTCTGTGTATATAAACAGAGGTCATGCTCATTCAACCAGCACAAATATCAGCTGAAGACACAGGTTGTGAAGAAATGCATTGAGGCCAACAAAAGTGTCAGAGAAGAGAATATACTGTAGAAGTTATATCGTGTTGCTGGACTTACATGACTCCCTGCAGCACTTTCTGTGGGTCTGGGTCAAACAGTCTGTCAACATAATGGCGACTTGTGGCAGTTACTTCCTGTGTGAGGAGAAATATAACAGCAACATTAGAGACATAATTCACTGATTTATTTCCCACAATTCCCAGTTAGGGCTAACTTGCTAGGAAGTACATTAGATTCAATCTGGTTTGGCTTCCCTTAACACAGACACACACAACAGAGTGCACAGAGATCAATTAACAAGAATTGAAAGATGAAAGGCTGAGAGAAAAGAGCCTGTCTGCGTGCAAGGTTAAAAAATAAATAAGACAACAGCAATTACAAATACTTGATATCTGACTGTTTAAGTAAAATAAAAGCCTTGATAGACTAACAGTCGTGCACGCATACAGTAGCATCCATAGCGGGGCCCCTCGAAAAGCTGTGGCTAGACGTGACACAAAAAACAAGACGACAGCAATTACACACAATTTTAAATACTGGATTTCTGACTGTTTAACTCAAATAAAAGCCTTGATAGACAAACAGTCGTGCACGCATACAGTAGCATCCGTAGCAAGGCCCTTTGATAAACTGTGGCAACACGTGACACCAGAAAGCTGTGTTTATATCACAGCTTTAACCAGAACTTTCCACCTGACCCCAGAGGACCAGAGCTCAAAAACCAATGTTACTATTTGCTCCTGGTGCCTGCATGCTGCCGACAAGGTGGAACATAAACCTGTCTGTGATATGTTCATTATATATTTCAGCCTGAATAGATATCATATAAAATACATATACACAGCAACCAAGCTATTTACCATTTTATTTGTATTTACTTGCACTATTTGATCTGTTTTGTTGTGTTGCTCTGTTGGAGGAGCCAATATTGATTCATTGACATATCTGCACTTTAGCTATGTACACATGACAATAAAGACTTGAATCTTATGTTCAAAGGCTCATACTCAACTTAGTGCAGAATGGAACTTTTCATGTCAAAAAAATTGAAAAATGCAACAAAATAGACTCTTAGACCTAGTCCTTAAATGAGGATACATCCAATACCATACATGTGCATTTGACACTAAAATGTGCTACTCATTCTGTCCATTGTAGGAGAAGTTTATATTCCTGATTGATTATAAATCATTACAACATTTTGTATGATGGAAGGGGTTACAGCTATGTTTAGCATATAGCATATTGAATATTCTTACAAATGTATCCTGAACAATGTGCACCTACAATACAGATGTAGCTCATAAATGCAGCTAAATATCTGAATTATCTGTCATGTAATATAGGCCTAGTATCAATCTTTGTGCCAAGTTAATTGGTTTAATAAGTGAATCCATTCAAAGTCAACTAATTTGAAAGTAAACAATATACAAGGAACATTTTCTTCATTTGTTTCTTCATTTGAACTGATGAATAGTATTAATGTTTGTTTATTACCCGGCCCCTTGCCTTATCTATTTTTGCAAAAGTGGCCCCTGTGTAAAGCAAGTTGAGTCCTCTCTCTTTCTGCATGCAGCTAACTAGGGGGCGTTTCACAGTTTCAAGACTGTGCATGTTCATTTTAGCTACCTATTTAAGTTTAACTTTATCCAAGATACACCTGACAGCCATTGTCACCTGATAACATAAATTACAATACCTTACTATAGCCAAATGCTTGACTTTTTGCTGCCACTAGATCTCAATTTACCTAGCAACAAAACTCCTCTAGAAGTGTTAGCATTGTTAGCTTAACCCCAATGCTAGTTAGCCAACGTTAGAGACCATAAGGGTAGCTAGCTTACACCATTAAGTTTGTTATTGTAATAAGCAAGATGCAATAATATTTTTATTTTGTTTATTGGATTATAAAAAAGCAAATTCCAGCTAGTTGTCTTTCATTGTGATTTTAGGAATATTTGAAACGTGTTTTGAACTGACAGCACTTTCACTGCTAGCCGTTAGTTGCTAACTCATTCCGAGTGACACTGACAGGTACGTTTGCTCGATTTGCATTTCTAAACGCACCGACGGGACGGGCGGACACATTTTGACCCACATTTGCCTAAAGTGGATTTTTATGTATTTTTTATAATAAATGTTTCTATTGCTCCCCTTGTTTGAGTATTATTGAGGTACACCCCCACAACCTTCTTGTTCATAATTTAATGTATAGCACGTTTAACGTTCATTGAAAAAAAGAGAATAAATAGAAAAAAATAGTCCCTTCATCGTTCAGAACGTCCCCGCCCGCCCGGGTGACGCCATTAGTTAAAACAAGTCTTCCCATCAGCTACGTAGATGAACCGCTACAGTGCTAACTTAGCTTTGTAGGCTAACAGAAACACATAAAACCTTCTAGCTCCTTCATGAGACTGAATCAAAAGATGCTAAAACACCAACTTGTTGAGTGCGAGTACACCGTTAGTTTTCACAATAAAGATGTTGAGAGTGACACTCACAGAAAGCACACTGATGCGGAGAGGGGCCTCCAACAAACACGCCATCTCTCTTCCCCAGATTCAGCGCCCCAATCGGCGCAGCTTTCTGCAGACACTCCGCCCCCCGGAGAAGCTGTGAGAGGCTTTTTAAAGAAATAAATAACTGCAGATAAATCACACCACTCTCCTTGCAAGCGTTATGATAAAAACAACGAGGTAACTATATTATTCCTGTATGGACTCGGTTGTAAACAAAAAACAAACACCGCTAACTTGCTGACTGTCAGACTGTGGACTAGATTTGTCAATTAGGTACATTTTGTTTATACATGTTAGAGTTAGATTCGATTCAATAACCGACCACGAATATTTTATGCATACAAATATAAAAAATATATATACATACTCCATAACAGTTTACAAATATAGTTAAATGTATACTAGATAACACGTAAAATATAAAAATGCCAATCTATTTTGTTATGTCTTTATTCGAGGGTGTTGAATCTGCTGCTCACAATCTACCCAATGTGTGACGTTTTGCGCATGCGCTCTATGTAGTAGCTGCGAGGTGGGAAAATTCATTCAATCGCGTTTCTGTTTATCCGTGTTTTAGACATGCATTTCTGACAAATTTGTGACTTTACAGCGTATTAAACTACACGAACACACTCTTCAGTTATTGTTGCATCGCAGTAAGTTCTAACTTTGTTATCTTGTTTTGTTGTGTTTATGAGAGCATTATGGTTCACTGTTTGCTTGCACACGTTGTAACGTTATGGTAGATTAAGTGCGTAGTACAGCTAGCTATTGCATATCATGTTATGTGGCTTATTTTAGCACTTAAGTTGCTAATAAATGGTATGATGCAACTAGAAGTTAGTACACAGGTTAGACATATTATTGCAAAGAGTGCACGCATACTAAGCTGAGTGCAGCAGCCACGTTTGTCAGATACAAGTGATACAATGTATGTAAGTTTTGAAAGCAATTCCAAGAAGGTCAAATTAACTGTACCATGTTTTAAGTGCATGGTTGACTATTTTATGTTTTACAATTATATTTATGTTCTTGGCACTTGCACTAGTTTCCCTCTCTATTTTTATTTCCTCAATACGTGTACTGGATGCACTAAACACCAAGGCAAATTCCCTGTAAGTGAAAAGACAAATACATAGATAGATAGACTTGAATAACATAATTGGAAACAAACCCTTATCCTGGTTGTATTCAAAGCAACTATTTAAAGGTTAAAACATGTATAATGTCAGTGTGTATTGACTGACAAGTGACAACACTGTTCGTGATGAGCGTGAATTCTAATACGAGTCACTTTTATAGAGTTAAAATTTAAGTGATCATTATCAGAAATCAATATCTATACATTGACTGAAAACACTGTTCGTGATGAGCATAAAAGAGTCACCTTCCAGTAGTGTTGTATTTGATCATTATCAGAAATCAGCAGGGAGTTGTTCAGTGTTAGAAGAGCTACTGTTTTTAAATTAGTATGCTAAATAAGTACACAACCATGTTCAAAATAAGTAGCAGCAAGAAAAGACAGCCAGTAATAACAACAATGTATAATCAAAAGTAATTTTCCTCATCCATAATTTCAATTGTACTAACTTGATATTTAATTTTCAACAAATTCTCTCTTAAAATCATGTTATGGCTCTTCTGTCATGATGGACATTTTTCTAACTTTAAAATGTATTAATCCCGACACAATAGGGTGGTCCTTAGTGCCATGTACATTTTCAAATTCATTTATTTTAAGCTCCAACCACCGGAATTCGTTATGATAGTGAAGAAAACTCTCCTGGTGAATTTTAAACAACATTTACCCCTCCTTCGTCAACCTTTAAGTTTAGCCTCACGTAGGGTGGTCCTTAAAGTGGGAAACTCAATCCAATCCAATCCACTTTATTTGTATAGCTCATAATAAAAATAGAGTGTTTACCAAAGTGCTTCACACCAAACATAACATTATAATCAAATATAATATTACAATAGATAAAAGGCACACATAAGAATGAATACACGGTACATAAAGGCTATGGACAGACAATAAAAGCATAAAAATCGATAAAACAGCTCAGACTGACTCGAAAGCAAGGGGAAAAGAGGTGGGTCTTTAGACGGGACTTGAAAGTTTGGAGTGTGGGCCACAATTTGACATGGGGGGGCAGGTCGTTCCAGAGCCTGGGGGCTACCACTGAGAAGGCTCGATCTCCCCTGGTCTTTTTCTTGGTTTTAGGGACGACCAGCCGCAGCTGATCAGCTGACCTCAAAGCCCTTGAGGGGGTGTACACCTGTAGGAGGTCGGAGATGGACTGAGTTTAAGCTCCAACCCCCAGAATTCATTCTATTAGTCAAGAAGACTCTCCTGGTGAATGTTTTCCTCAATCTAACAACATGTACCCCTCCCTCATCGACCTAAAATTCACCAGGAGAGTTTTTCTTGACTAATAGAATGAATTCTGGGGGTTGGAGCTTAGGCTTTCCCACTTTCAATTTTAAGGACCACCCTACGACACATCACAAAAAGAGTATCTGCATTGAAGCCAGCCTTACGGCCCGTCTACACTACAGGCATCAAAAAATCTTGAAGCTGGGCGTGTCTGAAGCTTGGCGATTTTTTGCGAGCAACGCGACCAACAACCAATCACATGAATCTCCCGCCCCCGACATACAAAGCAATAGCAATGTTAAAACGAAGTAAACTGGATATAAACTCTCCAAACAGGCGGAAAACTACCAGTTTCACCCACTGTCTCTGCCACCTCCCTCCATGCCTGGTTCCTCCGGTTTGTATCCCGGTAAATAGTTCTGGTCGTAAAGAACCGGGTGATTTGCTACCGTAATATCTCGTTTGGAATATGAGGAAATGAACTGCGGTCTGGCTCTCCCAGCTTGCACGCGGTTTGATTGGCTAGCGCTTGCACTGGCGGGATTTGCATAAACGGGATTTGATTGGCTGATGCCAAGCATCGAGCCTCAAAAGTTGAACATTGTTCAACTTTTGATGCCGATAGATGCTCGTGATGC